GTCTACTTTAATGGTAAGTGACATTATATATCTGAATACTGTACCGGTGTAGTTTTTATGACACTGACTGTGTTTGTGTTTCTTTGTTTTTACAGGTAAATGGAAGACCGTTTTTGAATCCTCAAATAAATGGGAAAACTTCATGAAGGTTTCAGGTGAGGTCATAGAAGTGCCAACTCTCTACAGCTCCAAGTACAACCTTCAAATGGGCTACAACAAAAAATTACAGGCTGAGGTAAGTGTCGCAATTAATGTACAAAGGTCATTGTCAGGAAGCTGTGCCATTTGCATTTGAGAACATTTGACTTGATATTGATATTATTAACCAGATACTGAACTTCGTTATATCATATTAGAGATTTACCTTGTTTAGTGTATAAGGCAAATTAATATAAAACATAGTTTGTTTGTCTCTTCAGATTATCAGACAATTTGCATGCCAACTTTTTCACCATATCTAAAAATTATATTTAAAAAAGTGCTTTGATCTTTCATCAGTGAGACCATGTAATATATTTTACATAGTTCAGAGGCAAGTTTCTTCTCATCAAGCTCTATTATGGGAAAAAATATCAAAGATGAAAAAAATATATATATAATAATAATTTGGCAAGAAACAGAATAATATTCCCTAGATACTTGTGTGGTGTAGATCAAGAAGTATTGACATCCTATAGATAGATAAATAAAAAATTTAAAGCAGATAAATAAAAATTTAATAAAAAATGTTAAATTAAATAAAAAATATATAATTCAATATAGAAATATTTAAATAATAAAATATAATTAAAAGAAAAAAAATCCTTAATTTTACATTACAACAATGACACCATTTCCTGAAAATGAACTACAAGCACTTGTACTGTATTTGTACAAATACAAACACATACATTGTAGAACTATTTCTGCAGGTCGGAAAGTTCCCTCTTACGGGCAAAAACAGCCTGTACATACTGATCCCGCACAACGTCAGAAGAATCTTTTGTATTGATGGAAAATAAT